ATAACGATGCTTTAAGTTGAATTTCATATGATCCTAAACTTTATGAATTCGTCCCTAATCCGAGTAAACAAAATTCCAACGAAAATCGAGCCAGAATCTTCTACCAGAAGTATAGTATTCTACAACTGCAGCTGGCCATACAGCTTTCAATGTCCAGTGACTCGTGTTAAAGCAGTCACTCACTCACTATAGCCTAGGAGTGGGGGGAATGTGATTCCAGGAGATAATTGAACCACATTCTCTCCCAAACATATTCCACAAAGAAATAAAGATTTAATGAAATATTTGAAAGTTATGCAAGCGAAATTCTTAAAAGATTTTGTGAAGAAGTCGATATCGAGTATCGTGTTAAATTTCAATACGGAAGTGAGCTACCAAATGCCACGATCTCTTTGTAATGGATAATGACAAAAGCAATCTATTTAATGGAAATTACATTGAAATTTCCTGAAAACTCGGTAGACAAAGAAGGATCTTTGTCAAACAGATCTTAATCTTGTCTTTTATTGATTCGTTTCGTTTCTAACCATTTAAATATTTTCAAATCTAATTTTAAGTTATAAATATTACTTAGTTATTTCGTTCAAATTGGAATGAAAAACCCAAATAATATTTGAAATAAATAACAAAATAAAAATAATAGTTTTCTTTTTTGCTTTTTGTTTGAAGAATATTAAATCCAAATAGGTGGAAAATTCTTTGTAAAATTATTTCAAATACTTCATATGTATTGTTTCGTTTAATTAGCACACGATAGACTACCGTATTAAAATTGATTTCTGTAAATAATCCTGAATTAAATATTCTATAAATTTACCCCAAAAATATTTAAATTCTTCGTATTAAAGAACATTTTTGATAATAAAACAAAATATATTTATTTCTATTGAATTATCAAAAACTATTCATCCTGTTTTTAATCAAAAAAACAAATGTCCTAATCAATAAATTCTCAAAAATATATTAGTATAACTGTTGAAGTCAAAAAGCTCTCTAATAAATCATATTCTGTCCTTTTATTCTATGATTAATTTCCATAAAAACATAGTTATTTTTCAATGAAGATGTATGAAAATCTTCCACAAAATTTTAAGTAAATACTAGAAAAGCATGATATCAGACAGATACATGCATTAGATCCTAAAATATGTGATCTCAAGCGTGTATCTAGAGTGACCAAAAATTATTTAACCGACATACGTTTCACAATAAATCGAATGAAACGACTGAGTCAGCATAATAAAATATAAATCTCGGTTTCCAGTGTATTAAAACTAATAACGATTCAAAATAAGTTCCTGTAAGTGACATTATTAATTATCAATTTATGCAAATGAAGTCATTTCATTCGTACATAATATTACCTACTCCAGTTTTATATATTTTATTGTAATTAAATATAACTCGAAGCTACATGATACCAATTACTACATAACTACTTCATATTCTCTATCGTGTGATGTAGTCGTTAAAGCATGAATCAATGGAACATTGGAGAATATTCCATTAAAAAAAAGCGGAAAAAATGATAAAATTTAATAATAATGAGAAATTAATCAAGATAAACTATTAACTAATTCAAAAAGTTTATGATAATTACTTATAAATTAAATTATATATTTTTTTCTTCATAAACTAATTGCTATGAAATAAAATAAAAATGGAAACAGTTAATTTCATTTCTACTTCAGCAAAGTCATTTTGTATGCAACTATTAAAAATGCTTTGATCCTGACGGTTGCCATTGAAACAAATTATATTTGAAAGAAGACTGCTTTCACTATTATTCAATTTTGTGTGGTATCTAGAAATGTGCTTTGTTGTTCCGATCACAAAAAATTGTATAGAACCTCTTTAGAAAGCTTCTGACATCTTGACATTTCACAAGCCATTAATGTCCATTGCATCGCATTACAAAATCTTCAAACATGATTACAGCTATGATACATTATATTTTAAGTGGATAAAAATAATATTTTTAGAAAATTCTAAGCATATCTAATTGTATAAATTGAATTTTTTTAAATAGAAAATGCTCTTAGTGTAAAAAAGTTCTTCAGATATCTCACATGCTATTGATGTCCATTGCAAATCTTCAGTTACAACTAGAATCGTGATGTCAATACAGTATGACAATAATATATTGAATAATATATTTTAAGTGAATAAAAACAAAATATATAGAAGAAGTACAAGTATATTTAATCGTATAAATTGAGTTTTTTTCTTCTTAATACATAGTTTTTCTAGAAACCTTCAAGATGTTTCACAATCCATTCAAGTCCATTGCAATGCAAAATTTTCAAGCATAACTAAACTATGATTTCAATAGAGTATGATAACATATATCTTACGTAACATATTTTAAGTGCATAAAATAATGTTTTGTATAGAAGTAGCCTACATCAAATCATGTACTGTATTTTTTAAAAATCAATAACATTTTTATACATTAAAATTAGAAATTAAGTTCATTCCAAGATGATGAAAAGTTGGAAATTTTATTGAAATGGATTTCTAAAGAGAAATATTTAAGGAGGTTATTAATGTAATGAGAGATTTCTATCAAATAATGATTTGATGAATGAATTCAGTCTTATTATCTGTGAGAAATTTTACTGCTGGACGACGGAACTTAAATGGAATTTAGCAAATGCTAATCTAAGAATCTCTTTTTCCTTTTTATTTTCCAAATGAGAACGTATATTACTAATAGCTTTAGAAGAATTTCTAACATTTTAGAGTTTAATGCACGGTTTTTTCCTGTTCCTCAAGTAAATTCTAGACTATTTGAGGTATAAAAATAGCATCAAAATGGACTTCTAACTAAGAAAATAATGACCTTTCTTGTAAAACTAAAATATATTTTAACTTTTAAGCATGTTTAAAGTGTATTAAACATTAACTGATTCTTCTGATACGTTACTGTCGATTAATTAATTGATTAATGGATGATTAATTGATTAATAATGCAAAATTTGTTTGAAAATTATAAGAGAGAATTATGTAAATATATAGTAAACTATTCATAACGAACTCGATTAATTGATATCTATAGAAAATATGGATCTATATAATGCAAACGACTAACGAAACAATTTATTTTCACACTGTATTTCATCTGTACTTATGAAAATGTTAGATCGATCCAAGATACTGCATTACGGAAATGTTCGATCTTCCAGAAGTTTTTAATCCAGAGAGATTACAGTGAAAATTTTAAGTAATTTCTAAAAGTATGTTTTTTTTTCTTGTTTTATAATGCATTTATTAATTATATTAACACAAAAAGTATAAAATAGAAAAAAGTTAGGCTGCTATATTTAGGAGAGACTTTTCAGGATAATATTTATATATAAATACTTCACTTTTAACCTTGATTTTTTTAAATATTTGTTTAAAACACTTAAAACGAAAATTTTTAAATATAAGTATAAAACAAGAAAATTGTTTTATACATATATTTAACATACGTATTAAAAACAGGATAAAATAAAAAATGCCATATTCACGAGAGAATTTTTTTCAGACATTTATATACAGATATTAAAGTTAAAGAGAAATATTTTCTTTTAAAACAAGTAAAATAGCAATTTTAAAAAATCCTTTTCTGTTATTTTTCTTGTTTTATACGAAAAATGTACATCAAAAAATAAAATAAAATATTTAAAAAATATTTAAAAAATACTATATGTACAGAATCTTTAAGTGTAAAAATATCTCATTGTTTCAAAAATATTTTATAATAATTAAAATCGCAGTTTGTCTTATTAAATTTTATATTTTTAATTTCTCTAAATTTATTGTTATTTATTACTTATTGCTTTATAACGTTTTAGTGGAATTTATTATTATTGTTTTAGGCTATATGGGGAGGTCTTACTTGTATTATGAAAATAAATGAAAAAAAAATTAATAAATATTTAAAATTTTTTCATCTACTTTTATTTGTATAAAAATAATTAAAATATTTAAAAAAAATAGTGACTTTTTAGGATATCCGTATACAAATAACCTCGTTTTATCATTAAATATTTAAAATTTTATTTAAAACAATTAAAATAACCATTTTCTTTAATTTCCAATAAAAATTTTAAGAATACAGCGTATTAAATTCGTTCAATAAAGAATGATTTGTCTAGAAAGCAATCCAAGTACTTGCTTTTCTTAAGAAGTAACATCCGACAATCATCATTATATCAATAATTCAAAGAGGCACAGCAACATGAAATTCGTTTCTAGTCAGAAAGAAGACTTTTACATTAATGATATCCTCTTTCTATAATTCTTGACACTTAGCTAAATAACTTATGCGATTAATTTATCTTCATGCAACACCGAAGTGTTAAGATAAACAGCGATGGGACATTCGAAGCTTTTTATATAATAAATATGAATCAATTTGTATATATATTAATGTTTTGATTTATAAATCACAGTAAATAATTATATTATATATATGATTCTGAGAAAAAAACAAGAAAATAAGGCTTATATGACTATTATATGAGTATATGGAAGTATTATTGAAAATAAGTAAGTTATAAATAGTAAATATATAAAATACAACTATGCAAATTTGTTTAAATAACGATAAAACGGAAGAAAAACTGATAAAAAATAAGGCAGAAAGCTTTAAAAAAAATCTAGAAAATGTTCTATACATTGAGAGAAATCTATCAAATTATACCAATTTGATTAGAATGGCTACAAAATCACATAAAACTAATTTCAAAAGCCTTATACATCGATGCACTCACCTAGATTAAATCTTTAAGTAGTGAAAGACTCGATATTCTTCCATTGTACATCAATATAATTCTCGTTTCCACTCGAAATCAATTTTTATAAAGACAAAATCTTACCTTTACTCTACTCCTCCCTTCATGTTCTTCTTTTACTAATTGTGTTCAAATCATGAATTAAATAATATTTACCTGTATATATATATATATATTAATTTATTTATATATAAATATGAAGTAAAGAAAAAAGGATATGGCCACTCGATAATGAATTTGGTACATCTCCTGACGATATTCTTATCACTCAGAAGAAATAATGACGAAGGCCCTTCGCCTCTTTTAAGTTGTTGTCCTCTCTTTCTTGCCATTTCTGAATGAAATATTTCTCTTTTTCTTAAACTGCCATAATCACTGAAAATGCCAGCTTCACCCAATCCTGCTGCTTCGGCATTTAAAGCTGTCAATCTATATTAAAAAAAGCAAAAAAAAATGCAAAGAATTTGTAAGTATCTTATATTAAATTATTATAAAAATCATTGCAAATAGAAATTAATATGAAAATATTAATACTAATAGATAATAAGAATCGTGCAATTGGACGTTTTTTACGAAATCGTGACTTAACAGAGGATTCCTATCACAGGAGGAACAGGAAGCCATTTGGTTCGGTCTTTACATTTACGAAAACATCTTAAGAAAAATGATAGGAATCTTTCAACTTCTAAGAGATTAACGGCCTGGTGGACGGGCGGTTAATGTGTCAGCCTCCTGCTCTGGAGGACCCAGGAATAAATCCGGATGGGTCAAAACCTCCCAGAAAATTGTCGAAGATACTCTATTCCGAATATACCAGCCCCATCTCTCGCCACCTGGCCAAATCTACAACGGGCTTAATAAAAAGCCCTCTTAATACTTACAGAATAGAAAGCATAAAAAAAGAACGTTTGATAGGTCCTGATTAAAATATTTATATTTCTCAATACAGCAAAGTTGAGACATAAATTGCATACATAGTAACTTTTGTGAATTCTTATGTTTTATTCGATTAATACATAAATTTAATACTAAAAATCTGTGGAAGAAGCATTTATAACAATAACGATGCGTAAATATACTGCTTTTAATTTCAAAATAACTATTTGATCACGTGATAATATATAGTCTTCATTATTATGCTTACGAACTTTCTTTAATTCGTAAGCAAGAATTAAAAGAAACACTTAAAAACACTAAGATGAAAAATAGACATTGCGTTGGTTCCGGTAATTATGTGAAATTGAAATAAAGTTTTTATTTTTAAATTTAAAAATGTATTTTTAATTTTTTTAATGAAAGTGGCCGAATTAAGAAAATTATTTGATAAAATATGAAATCTACAACGAATTCGTTCAACAGAAGACGTTCCTATACCATTTGTATGCTAATAATACATTAATTGAATAGACAATAAAATGTTCTACGTTGATGTAAATTCGTGGTACCAAAGTGACCTTGACCTTTCATTAAAAGCTGCTAAGAGACATTTGACTCCATAAGGGAAAGGATATTTGAATATGCCATAATGGAATTGTTTTAAAGAACATTTAAACATTTTAAATATGCCTAAGCAACTTTTAAAGAAAGGTCAAGGTCACTCTAGTACGGTGAAACCTGTCTAAAATCTGTCTAAAACGAAGCCTCAATAAAACAAAAACCTGCCTGAACGGAAAAACTTCCAGAACGCAGCAATTTTTTATGTTAAATTTTACTATAAGCCGAAAATCGGAAGAGGTTCTTGGGCAAGAAAAACAATTTAACTTGAATAAAGCAAAAAATTTAGATTCTACTTGTAGACAAATAGAATTGCTTCCAGGTAGAACAGGTCATCACGTGTCGAGTATATATATATATATTAATTTATTTATATATAAATACTTCACTTTTAACCTTGATTTTTTTAAATATTTGTTTAAAACACTTAAAACGAAAATTTTTAAATATAAGTATAAAACAAGAAAATTGTTTTATACATATATTTAACATACGTATTAAAAACAGGATAAAATAAAAAATGCCATATTCACGAGAGAATTTTTTTCAGACATTTATATACAGATATTAAAGTTAAAGAGAAATATTTAAGGAGGTTATTAATGTAATGAGAGATTTCTATCAAATAATGATTTGATGAATGAATTCAGTCTTATTATCTGTGAGAAATTTTACTGCTGGACGACGGAACTTAAATGGAATTTAGCAAATGCTAATCTAAGAATCTCTTTTTCCTTTTTATTTTCCAAATGAGAACGTATATTACTAATAGCTTTAGAAGAATTTCTAACATTTTAGAGTTTAATGCACGGTTTTTTCCTGTTCCTCAAGTAAATTCTAGACTATTTGAGGTATAAAAATAGCATCAAAATGGACTTCTAACTAAGAAAATAATGACCTTTCTTGTAAAACTAAAATATATTTTAACTTTTAAGCATGTTTAAAGTGTATTAAACATTAACTGATTCTTCTGATACGTTACTGTCGATTAATTAATTGATTAATGGATGATTAATTGATTAATAATGCAAAATTTGTTTGAAAATTATAAGAGAGAATTATGTAAATATATAGTAAACTATTCACAACGAACTCGATTAATTGATATCTATAGAAAATATGGATCTATATAATGCAAACGACTAACGAAACAATTTATTTTCACACTGTATTTCATCTGTACTTATGAAAATGTTAGATCGATCCAAGATACTGCATTACGGAAATGTTCGATCTTCCAGAAGTTTTTAATCCAGAGAGATTACAGTGAAAATTTTAAGTAATTTCTAAAAGTATGTTTTTTTTTCTTGTTTTATAATGCATTTATTAATTATATTAACACAAAAAGTATAAAATAGAAAAAAGTTAGGCTGCTATATTTAGGAGAGACTTCTCAGGATAATATTTATATATAAATACTTCACTTTTAACCTTGATTTTTTTAAATATTTTTTAAAACACTTAAAACGAAAATTTTTAAATATAAGTATAAAACAAGAAAATTGTTTTATACATATATTTAACATACGTATTAAAAACAGGATAAAATAAAAAATGCTATATTCACGAGAGAATTTTTTTCAGACATTTATATACAGATATTAAAGTTAAAGAGAAATATTTTCTTTTAAAACAAGTAAAATAGCAATTTTAAAAAATCCTTTTCTGTTATTTTTCTTGTTTTATACGAAAAATGTACATCAAAAAATAAAATAAAATATTTAAAAAATATTTAAAAAATACTATATGTACAGAATCTTTAAGTGTAAAAATATCTCATTGTTTCAAAAATATTTTATAATAATTAAAATCGCAGTTTGTCTTATTAAATTTTATATTTTTAATTTCTCTAAATTTATTGTTATTTATTACTTATTGCTTTATAACGTTTTAGTGGAATTTATTATTATTGTTTTAGGCTATATGGGGAGGTCTTACTTGTATTATGCAAATAAATGAAAAAAAAATTAATAAATATTTAAAATTTTTTCATCTACTTTTATTTGTATAAAAATAATTAAAATATTTAAAAAAAATAGTGACTTTTTAGGATATCCGTATACAAATAACCTCGTTTTATCATTAAATATTTAAAATTTTATTTAAAACAATTAAAATAACCATTTTCTTTAATTTCCAATAAAAATTTTAAGAATACAGCGTATTAAATTCGTTCAATAAAGAATGATTTGTCTAGAAAGCAATCCAAGTACTTGCTTTTCTTAAGAAGTAACATCCGACAATCATCATTATATCAATAATTCAAAGAGGCACAGCAACATGAAATTCGTTTCTAGTCAGAAAGAAGACTTTTACATTAATGATATCCTCTTTCTATAATTCTTGACACTTAGCTAAATAACTTATGCGATTAATTTATCTTCATGCAACACCGAAGTGTTAAGATAAACAGCGATGGGACATTCGAAGCTTTTTATATAATAAATATGAATCAATTTGTATATATATTAATGTTTTGATTTATAAATCACAGTAAATAATTATATTATATATATGATTCTGAGAAAAAAACAAGAAAATAAGGCTTATATGACTATTATATGAGTATATGGAAGTATTATTGAAAATAAGTAAGTTATAAATAGTAAATATATAAAATACAACTATGCAAATTTGTTTAAATAACGATAAAACGGAAGAAAAACTGATAAAAAATAAGGCAGAAAGCTTTAAAAAAAATCTAGAAAATGTTCTATACATTGAGAGAAATCTATCAAATTATACCAATTTGATTAGAATGGCTACAAAATCACATAAAACTAATTTCAAAAGCCTTATACATCGATGCACTCACCTAGATTAAATCTTTAAGTAGTGAAAGACTCGATATTCTTCCATTGTACATCAATATAATTCTCGTTTCCACTCGAAATCAATTTTTATAAAGACAAATCTTACCTTTACTCTACTCCTCCCTTCATGTTCTTCTTTTACTAATTGTGTTCAAATCATGAATTAAATAATATTTACCTGTATATATATATATATATTAATTTATTTATATATAAATATGAAGTAAAGAAAAAAGGATATGGCCACTCGATAATGAATTTGGTACATCTCCTGACGATATTCTTATCACTCAGAAGAAATAATGACGAAGGCCCTTCGCCTCTTTTAAGTTGTTGTCCTCTCTTTCTTGCCATTTCTGAATGAAATATTTCTCTTTTTCTTAAACTGCCATAATCACTGAAAATGCCAGCTTCACCCAATCCTGCTGCTTCGGCATTTAAAGCTGTCAATCTATATTAAAAAAAGCAAAAAAAAATGCAAAGAATTTGTAAGTATCTTATATTAAATTATTATAAAAATCATTGCAAATAGAAATTAATATGAAAATATTAATACTAATAGATAATAAGAATCGTGCAATTGGACGTTTTTTACGAAATCGTGACTTAACAGAGGATTCCTATCACAGGAGGAACAGGAAGCCATTTGGTTCGGTCTTTACATTTACGAAAACATCTTAAGAAAAATGATAGGAATCTTTCAACTTCTAAGAGATTAACGGCCTGGTGGACGGGCGGTTAATGTGTCAGCCTCCTGCTCTGGAGGACCCAGGAATAAATCCGGATGGGTCAAAACCTCCCAGAAAATTGTCGAAGATACTCTATTCCGAATATACCAGCCCCATCTCTCGCCACCTGGCCAAATCTACAACGGGCTTAATAAAAAGCCCTCTTAATACTTACAGAATAGAAAGCATAAAAAAAGAACGTTTGATAGGTCCTGATTAAAATATTTATATTTCTCAATACAGCAAAGTTGAGACATAAATTGCATACATAGTAACTTTTGTGAATTCTTATGTTTTATTCGATTAATACATAAATTTAATACTAAAAATCTGTGGAAGAAGCATTTATAACAATAACGATGCGTAAATATACTGCTTTTAATTTCAAAATAACTATTTGATCACGTGATAATATATAGTCTTCATTATTATGCTTACGAACTTTCTTTAATTCGTAAGCAAGAATTAAAAGAAACACTTAAAAACACTAAGATGAAAAATAGACATTGCGTTGGTTCCGGTAATTATGTGAAATTGAAATAAAGTTTTTATTTTTAAATTTAAAAATGTATTTTTAATTTTTTTAATGAAAGTGGCCGAATGAAGAAAATTATTTGATAAAATATGAAATCTACAACGAGTTCGTTCAACAGAAGACGTTCCTATACCATTTGTATGCTAATAATAATTGAATAGACAATAAAATGTTCTACGTTGATGTAAATTGGTGGTTCCAAAGTGACCTTGACCTTTCATTAAAAGCTTCTAAGAGACATTTGACTCCATAAGGGAAAGGATATTTGAATATGCCATAATGGGATTGTTTTAAAGAACATTTAAACATTTTAAATACGCCTAAGCAACTTTTAAAAAAAGGTCAAGGTCACTCTAGTACGGTAAAATCTGTCTAAAACGAATCCTCAATAAAACGGAAACCTGCCTGAACGGAAAAACTTCCAGAACGCAGCAATTTTTTATGTTAAATTTTACTATAAGCCGAAAATCGGAAGAGGTTCTTGGGCAAGAAAAACAATTTAACTTGAATAAAGCAAAAAATTTAGATTCTACTTGTAGACAAATAGAATTGCTTCCAGGTAGAACAGGTCATCACGTGTCGAGGACATGACTTTGTTGCGATTAGTCTTTGTAGGAATTAAACAAGGGCATATTTTAAGAATTGGAAACTTTTAAGATTCGAATGAGTTCTCCAGAGTTTCCGAGAACCGAGTTCTCGAGAATAAGTAAACGTATGTAATTCGTTAAAAACTCTGAAAATAATGTAAACACAGTGCTACCATTTTTCCTTGTACGATACTCGAATTTGCTTTCATGCTATCTTTTGAACTAATTTATGGATATCACCCGAAAACTTTCAATATTCGAATACCTAACAATTGATCAAGCGCACAACGATACTTATTACAATCAAATGGTTCTCAATTCTTGCATTCGAATACTTTTATTTTTAGTTGAATCACTTTAGATTAATTTTGTAATGTAGTAATAAAGTGTTTTTACGTCCATTCTAAATGGAGGTAACTGTGTAACGCTTATTTGATAGAATTAAAAGATTTAAAAAAGGGAGAAATAATACTAAACCTGTTCAAAACTAAAATAAAATTTGTATCGACGAATTCTGGCTTACACAGGTGTTATTGTATTTTTAATATACAGTGGTACCTCAGGATACGAAATTAATCCGTTCCGAAACTGAGATCGTATCATGAAAATGTCGTAAGGTGGATCATCTTTTCCCATACGATTACATGTAAAACCAAATAATTCGTTCCAACGCGAAAAACATACTCAAATTAAAGCCAAGTAATATATTTAAAAAAATAACTGTAGTAAGAAAAACAAATGAAAAATGCGAACTAATGTAACGTCGTATGGTGAGTTTTTGTTCGTATCGTGGAGCAAAAATATGTTCGAATTTCATGTCGTATCCTGAAAATTTCGTATGCTGGGGCGTTCGTAACCTGAGGTACCACTGTAATTGTAATATGGTTTTGTTAATTATAGAAATGTGCAATACGATTTTTACTTTTAGATAATGATCTTTTTCATTTTTTAAGAGAAAATTATCCAAATAAAGAAACTTTTTTTTTTGATAAAATACGAAATTTACGAATATTAATTGATTAATAAGGGACTTTTTTTTATCATTTACATGTTAAGTACAATTTACATGTCGAGTAGACAATAAAATGTCCGTCGTTGATGATGTTGTTGGTTCCTAAGAGACGTTCGACTCCATAATGGATAGAATATTTGAAGACTTTATAATGAAAACTTCATCCACAACGGAATCATTTCAAGAACATTTTAAATACTTTACATGCGGCTGGAAACCTCTAAAGAAAGTTCAGGTTAACCTTGACCTTTCTTTAGAGGCTTCCAGCCAGTGTTTTAATGTATTTTTAGTATTGGTTTTGACAATTACTTGGATGTAAAATATAGGTTTTTATTATTATTTTAGCATTGTCTTTATTAATTTTCAAATTAGAATTCCTATGGAAAAATGCTACCAAAATTAACAATTGAAAATTATTCTATTAAAAATTGGATACTTATTATATTAGAAAATTTAAAGATAAATAATTCTAAAATATATTTAAACCAATTTAAAAATGCGTACAGAATTAAACAAGGATAAATTTAACAAGTGCTAAGATTTAAACATTGAGATTCCTAGTAATATGCAAAATATAAAGACCGAATATATCTTTTATATATGCGGTCATTAATCATATAATACACAAAGTTTGGTTTCACAGTAGTCTCTAATGTGAGTCTGTTACGACCCTCCTGAGATCACGAACCCCCTAAGATTACGAGCCAATTGGCAAGTATCCCACTCTCCCTCCTGTGGATAGCCGTACTTTCAAGCCTTTAATGATTAACCATTTTAAATTTCGAATTATATTCAATGAGAATTTGATATTCTAATTACTTCAAAAATGACATTACAAGTATCTCCTTATCGATTATCTTCTTTTAGCACGTTTCCTATCGAAAGAAGAAATAAATTTTATTTAAAAGTATAATTATTCGGACATCTAACGACTGTAATTGGCAAAGAAAACAAAATATTCAATTATTAAAGCTCATATTGAAATCTGCATTTGGTAACGACATGAAAGTTTTAATGAACATCCACTTGCATGGCACTTGTATACAATTTAATCAACACAATACATGTTTAGATTAAGATAAGTGCACTATAATTTAGTTAATCTGAAAATAAACACTACACAATCATTCGTCAATATAGCATATCCACAAGAGAAATTTCACGGGAAGTTGAGACAAAAGTTTCACATACAACTCACATAGGGGATTTTTAGTAGACAAATTAGTGGAGGCTCTGTCATGGTTTGGGGAGCATTCTGTTATGATATTAAACTCGTTTTTGCTAAATTTAGCATAAAACTAAAATCTAAAAATTATCAGGTATTATAGGAAAAATATTTTCTCCCATTTAGATCATATTTTAGAGGAAGAAAATAGTACTACCAACAAGACAATGCCGCTTGCCATAACTCAAAGACAGCTCAAGACTGACTTAAAACAAAAAAAAATGAATATTTTACCTTGGTCATTAAGAAATCGTGATTTAAATCGCATTGAAAACATTTTGGGGTCTTAAGTCAGAAAGCATACGCAAATAACTGCCAATTTTCAAGTGTTCAAGAACTTGAATGTGAAATTATGCGCCAATGATAACGACATGAATATTGTCAATTATCTACCGAAAAAATTGGTAGAATCAATGTCGAACAGACCATTTGAAGTGGTACGAAGAAATAGAGTAATAATCAACTATTAATCAACAAAAAAATTACTTCTCAACCATCGTTTTCATGGTGGTCTTATAATTTATTAACAATGAAAATATGACTTTTGTAAAACTAATAACTAAATTGTGTTAGGAATGTTGAACTAATTGTTCAAAAAGTGATTATTTATTGTATTTTTTTGTTGAGAATAATAAGTGACCATTAAACATTGTTAGTTTTGAGAAACCTAAAAACGTGATAGTCTTATAATTTCCTAATAGTCTGTCCATAGCATTAGATATGTTAAATATGCTCATCAAGAATAAGATGAAAACCTTCAAATGTACATTCGATTAAATAGTGATCACAAAATAAATCCGCAAGAGACTTTTCATACATAAACATATGGTTCACCTTATTTTACACTCACTTATAAATCTCAGAATGTGATTTGTGAGTGTTTAATAAGGTAAACTGCATGTCTATGGAACTCGTGAAATACCATGTAAGTGAGGAAAAGGCTCCGTTTCAAATTACCCAAGTAAAGTTATAAAAAGATACACTTACATATATATAAGAAAACAACAGACTTCATGTCAAGTTTGTGTTAAGTACAGTACTAAAGACGTATCTTCATTATCAAAACGCATATTGAAATCTGCATTCAACATGAAAATTTTAATGATCAAACATGTGGCATTTACAATTATAAACGACTTATCTTAATCCAAGCATGCGTTATATTGATTAAGCTTAGTCCTATGCTAAGTTACTGAAAAATCAACACCGTACAGTTATTCAAAAGCATAGAAGCTATTTGAATTTCATACAAATTTCATTGAATGGGTGAGGAATGAGAAAGAAGATACGTTTCGAACGACTTACGAAAAGTCATAGAAGGATATACATATGGTACTGTACATACACCAAAAAAAAAACAACAA